AGTATGGCTGTTTTCAAATAAATCTACATTTATGGACACTGAAATTTAAATTCCATACAATTTCCACATGTCATGAGCAATTCTTCTTTTGGTTTTCTCCCAATAATTAAAAATGTGGCCCACAGGCTATAGGACCTCCTCCTCCAGATCATACTGGAGCAGGAGTGAAGCTGGGACTGAAACAGGAAAAAAAGGGACACAAAGTCCCAAGCAGAGGGATCAGCCAGTGCAAAGATCCTGAGGCTGGAAGGGGTTTGGTGAGCTCCAAGGACACAGAAAGACCCATATGGCTGAACTGCAACGAGCAAGGGGAAGCATGGCAGCAAAAAACAGGGGGGCTTTGTAAGCCTGAACAAGAAGTTTCGAATTTATTCCAAGTTCAGTAGAAAGCCCTTTGGAAGCACTGAGAAAAGATGTGCCCTTGATCTAACTCACATTTTTGAAAGATTCCTCTGTGTAATGCTTATTTCATAAGAATGAAAGGAAAGAGAGCAGAGAGAGAAAGATGCTATCGGGTTTTCCAGGAGAGAGATGAGAATGGTCTGGCCTGGAGTAGGGAGAGAGAGCCCTGCTGGGGAGAACGGGCGGATCTGGGCTCTATTTAGGAGATGAGGCAGAGCCCGCGGGATGTTGCGTAGCAGGTGAGTCGCGAATGAGCCCAGGGCGTCCAATATTCTCCCCTCGGTCCTGGGGGGTGGGGGGAGGGAGCGGTCATCAGCCCACGTGATCGGTGAAGACACTCGGTGAGGCTCGGTGCCAGGCGCTGTTCAGTACGGGGCCTCAGGGGCCAGTCGTCCTGGAGCTCCCATTCTGATGGCTCTGTGAGGTCAAGTCCCGGATCAACACCTGTGCCCCGCCCCGCCATGAACCTTCCCTTTGGCCAGTGATCCTCAACCTCTGACCTCTACTCCCCCCAACCATCCCCCACCTCTCCACGTGGCCTCAGAAAGTTTGCCTAAAGTACTGGTCCCTTAGAAGGGGAAACTGAGGCCTGGGGTGACACAAGGCGCCCCACGACCCCTTACAGGCCTCCCTCCGGGCCTCGGGACTGCGCACGTGGAAAGCCCCGCCCCGACCCAGGGATCTACCTAGGAGAAGGCGTCGGTCGCGGCGCCCTCCACGGTCCAAGCTCCCACCGAGGGTGCGAGGCCGAAAAACAAGCGGAAAGCAGCAGCATGAAGACCCACTCCGGGCGCGCAGCCGCAGGGAACGCAGATTCCCACATTGCTCGCGGCGCGCGCGAGGCCCACTACGCGTGCGCCCTGCCCTGCCCACGCCCCCTCGGTCGGCGGGAAAAGGAGGCGGGGGCGGTTAATGCGCAGGCGCGTGCTCCGAGCTTGGCCCGGCTCGGACCCGGATCCCGAGAGCTTCACCGCGCTGGGCTCCGCGCGCAGCCGCTAACTGCCCGCTTTGCTCGGAGTCGACTTGGCAAGTGCGCACGCGCGGGAGTTTCTGGCAGAAGGCAGACGAGCCCGGGCCGGCGCGGGGCCTTGTGGGAGGGCTTAAGGAAGTAAAATGGCGGACCTGGCGAACGAAGGTAGGGGAGGCGCCGTTGGGGGCCAGCCGGCGGCCAGGGAACGGGCGGCGGGAGGCCCGGGGGCCAGAGGCCCGAGGGCTGAGCACCCCGGGGTGCGGGGGGCCTGTCTGCTCCAGGAGAGCGGCCCAGTGGGTCCCTCAGCCGTCCCCCATTGCGTCCCCTCAGGCCGGGCTCACCGGCCCGGCCCATCACTCCCGGTAGCCCCGGCCCTGCCACCGTCTGGCCAGACGGCTCTGGAGACGGCGGGGGCCGCGGCCCTGAGGCCCTTTCGCCTCGCAGGCCAGGCCAGGGGCCGAAGGGGGCGGGAGCGCGGCCTCAACGCCTCGGCCTCGGATGTAAATGGACCTCCGGGCCTGGTCGCGGGCCCGGCGCGCCACGCTCCCTCCCCGCCCCCTCGTTCTCGGGGACCCCGGCTTTCCCCCTTCCCCTGCCTGGCTGCCGAGCCGGCCCACCCCCCGGTCCTGTGGGCTTCTCATCCTCCGCGGGCCTGCCCCACGCCGAGGATGGAGAACGTCTTGTTTGTTTTCACCCCCACCCCCAATTCAGCCCCCCCAGTTCCCGCCAGTTCCCTCGGATCCTTCCTGGCGACCCGAGAGTCGCGCCTCGTCTCCGCTCATTTAGGTCCAGCCGCAGGGTGTGAGCCACTGAAAGCCCTGGCGGCTTTTCGGCCCTTTTTGTTGGTTGCACTTCCAGAGAGAGAGACAGAGACTGTGCGATCCCCTCCTCTGCGGAGCGCTGACATCCTGGCTGAGCGATTTTGACAAGGTTACAGTTCCGAATGGCCCAGGGAAAGCGCCGCATCGGCCGCTGTCTGATGAAATCAGCCGTGGCGTTGAGATCGCTAGTAGCTTCAAGACCTTCTGAGGCCTATTTTTAGCTCCCTCCGTGTCTAGGTGCCCAACTACAGGCAGGCGATCTACCTGCCTGGCCCTGATTTCCCCCCATACCCTGCTCCCTGCTGGCCTGAGGTTTGTACTGAGCTGCACGAGTGCACGAATGACAATAATAAGTGCTCACCCTGGTGGAGCATTTGGAGTGCTACCAGGTACTGTTCAAAGTCTTGGGCGCGTGTGATCTGGAGTAACCCTCGCTCCTCACAAAAGCTCCCAGAAGAAGGTACCGTCGGCTCCTGTTCTCCATGAGGAAGCTGAGTTAGAGTGGTTAAGTTACTTGTCCAAGGCAGGTCACACAGCTAGTGAGGAGCAGGGATGTGGATCAAGGTGGTCTTGATCACCACCCCCTCCCGCCACGTAGGCCGCAAGTCTTTGATAAGACAAAGGAGCCAGTGGAGGGTTGAGGCATTCCATTCACAAGATGCATTTGCAGGCAGAACGGGGACTGGATAAAATGGGAGTCAGTATGACACACTCTGTGTATTTGTGTACCGGGCTCATTCATTTTCTTGAATTCAAGACTCCTATGCGACGTCGCGTTCGACATCTCCATTTGGATGTCCAATAGCCACATCACACAAAACCCCTGTCTTTCTCCCCCAAACCCGCCCAGCCCACCATCCTTCTCCACTTGTAGTAAATGGCAAGTGCATCCTTTGAATGGCTCAGGCCAAACACCTTGACGTCGCCCTTGACTCCTCTTTCTCTCCCAAGCCACAGCACATCTTGTCAGTTCTACCTTAAAAATCTTACCGGGGGTGACCACCTCTCACCACCACCGCTGCCGCTGCCTGGTCCTCCCTTCCACCTTCAGCCAGCTGACAGTTTGCCAACCCCGAAGGCAGATGGCCCCCAAGACCTCCCTGTCCTCCTCTCCTGCCACTCTGTCCCCGACGGGCCCTGCTTTATCCACTCTGGCTGTCTCCACGTCCCTTGCGTGGTCCACATCCTCTCTCCTGTATGCCTTTGGACCCGCTGGTTCCTCTGCCTGAGTCAGCCTTCCTGCACATGTCCCCACGCTCGCTCCTGCCCCTCCTGTAGGTTTTTACTCACATGTTCCCTTATCGTTGAGAACTTCTCTGGCCACCTATTTCAAATCGTATCCGCGTTCCGTATCCCCTCTGCCCCGCTTCATGTTGCCCCACGGCACTTATCACCAGCCGGTGTGCTCGGTCTACTTGTTTGCTTCTAGAACGTAAGCTCCATGAGGGTGAGGATTTTTGTCTGCCCCTGGTGGATCCCCCACCCCAATTAGGATAGTGCCTGGCGCAGAGTAGGTATCCAAGAAATGTTTGTTGAAGGAATGAGTGAATTCATCAGTCAGGACCTTCGTGGTGAGGTGTACCTTTGAGCACAAAGGGAAAATTATGGATTCCTGTTTTCCAGGGACACCATTTCTAGCACATGCGCTGACACATGAGCTGTCGATTGTAAATTGTGTAGTTGAACAGGTTAAGTGTAAGATGGAGAAGACGGACTGTTTTGTAGTACTTAAAGTCTTTGCCTAGTAAATGCCACACTCACCTAGTACTTTGCCTCTGACACTAGTTCTGGCCTAGCTGTCTCCAAAAAAAATCAAATCTTAGTGGTCTTTTATGCCTCTCATATCTCTGCCGCCCTTTAATTGGGTGTCATGTGTTTCTCCACTCCATTTCTGGTTTGGGCTTGTGCAGCCTGCTAGGATCTTTAATTTCTTATCCACTATGTGAACTGGGACTTCCTATGCACTTTGAAGCTTTATGGACTGCGCCATACGTGTGCTTTCCTACTTGTTGTTTAATCTCAGACGCCCTCTCGGCTTCTGCCTTTCCAAACTGGGATCCTAATCATATCCGTCCTCGCACCTGGGCATCTATAGAGACAGAAAACAGCACGGGCGATCCCGACGTGCAGCTAGGGTTGAGAAGCCCTGGCTTGAGTAGTACAGGTTAGGAGTGCTGTGCTTGTGTGGAAAGAAACACTTCCAGTTGTGTATCCAGTACAGCATCTTGTTGGCCCTCCTTACCATGGTGATCTCAGCTGTGACAGCAACTCCCACGGCCCTTTGTTGGTAGTCCTGTAGTCCGTGACTATTAAGGTCCAACTGGAATGTTTCTCTCCTAGGAGTGTGTGAGTGTTGTACACTTGTGTCCTGGGATATTCTCTTCTGCTTGGCATTTCGCTACTGATACATCCCAAAGCCGTTAATCATCCTGTCTCTGGAGTTATTCTGCCTTGTAGACCGGCATCGGGATTTGAAGGCAGCGGCGTTTGGTCCCTGGTAGAGGTAAAGAGACTGAGAAGAGGGTGAGCAAAGTGTATTTGAGCTATAGGAGATCTTGGATTCTAGATCCCAGCCTTAAAAGATACCATGTGCAGGGCTTCCCTGGTGGCGCAGTGGTTGAGAGTCCGCCTGCCGATGCAGGGGACATGTGGGTTCGTGCCCCGGTCCGGGAAGATCCCACATGCCGCAGGGCGGCTAGGCCCGTGAGCCATGGCCGCTGAGCCTGCGCGTCCGGAGCCTGTGCTCCGCAACGGGAGAGGCCACAACAGTGAGAGGCCCGCGTACCGAAAAAAAAAAAAAAAAAAAGATACCATGTGCACATGATGCCTTGCCAGCCTGCGGACACGCAGGGTGGAAACCCAAGAGACCGTATAAAGCAGGGTTCTCGACTTTGGCCCTATCGACATTTTGGACCTGGTGATTCTCTGTTGAGGGCCTGTCCTCTGCTCTGTAGGATGTTGAGCATCATAGCAGCATCCCTGACTACACGTAAGATCCCAGTAGCACACACCCTCCCCTGCACCCCTACCCAAGGGGTCGTGACAACCAAAAATGTCTTCAGACACTGTGTAGTGTCCCAGGGCAGGAGGTGGGGAGAATCACCCTCAGTTGACACCCTCCATATAAGGTGATGGTTGGGCACAGGCTTTGCATTAGAACCGGGTTTGTGTTTTTACTCTGCCTTGTACTCTCTGAGTGACTTTGGCCAAATTCTTAACTCCTTTGAGCCTCAGTTTTCTCACCAACAAAATGAGGATAACAATGATCTTATCTATCCCATGGTTGCTGTGACCCTTGGCTGAATTAATGCATATAAATTCTTTAGCGCCTATCTCGGCCCGGTAATAAACGGTAAATAGTAGCTGTTTTTACTGTGGTGGACTTATGTTACAGACACATTTAGGGGAAGTGCTCAAAGTGAAGCAAGAGAGGGCAAGAAGTGAGTCTGAACAGTGCAGGTGAATCCACCCCCACTGACTCCACCCGCTGGGGTGAGCCCAGGATGAGAGGCAGCCAGAGCTGGGCTGTCCGTCCTTCTTAGGTTCTGTCTTGACTTTGATTGCATGATCATCTAGGCAGGGGCTCTCAGCCTCGCCACTCTAAGCATTTGGGGCCAGATAATTCTCTGTTGTGGGGCTGTGCTGGGCATTGTAGGATGTTGATCAGCTTCCCTGGTCTCGACCCACTAGATGCCAATAGCACCCTCCCCCCTCCCCCAGTCATGTCAACCGGAAGTGTCCAGACATTGCTCAGTGTCCCCTGGTGGGGGGAGCCTCCCCCACACAGTTGCCCCCCATTGAGAACCCCTGATCTGGCCGGACCAAGTATTAGTCCAGAGATTTTCAAGGGTGGTTTGGCTTTCATCAGTTCTCACCTTACTTTTTGATTTAAGACCTAACCCCAGAGAGGATGGGATGCAGCTGAGTTTTTATTAATGAGCTAGAACTCAAAACAGTTGGAATCCTCAGTTCACTTGATTCTCACCACCCCCTTCCCCTGCCCTAAACTTAATTCTTAGGAGAAGTGAGAAGCAATTTTTCAAAGTTTTCATGAAGCTATGATAAACATTAACCCTGGGGTTTGTCCTGAGGTCAACTCTTGCATGCCTCTCACACCCGGGGCAGATGGGGCCTGGCGGTAGCTGAGGGTGCCATGCTAAAGTCTTTATGTACTTGGAAGAAAATTTAAGTTTTGACAGGGATCCTGTGTATGGACAGAAAAGCTTGCAGTTCTGCAAGTTTAAAACTTCTCCACCGCATCTCCAGCCTGCCTCCCAGTTAACTGGAAAATGGACTCACCCCAGCAGTCCCGTTGCCTGCAGGCATCATGGGGTATGAGGGCCGGTCGGGATCTGCTGTGTGCTTGTACGCTGAAGGAGCTGGAGAGAGAGGAGGCGACAGGAAGTTCCTAGGGTCAGAGCCAGGAAGCTTAGAATGGCCTTGGGAGCAGGGACCGTGTTTGGGGCCAGCCAAGGGGGCATTTTAGGTACCAGTCGAATTCCTGCCTAGTAAGTGAGTTCAGGCCCAGAGAATAGACTGGGGTAGAGTGGGAAATGGGGGCCATTTGGGGAACAATGGAATGCATCTGGGGGACTTGAAAAGGGCCTTTCTCATGTAATGGAAACTACCTGGGAAAGGCAGCTGGTATTGACCTGGCCGAGCCTTGGTAGCTCTCCATGGTACTTTGAAACCATCAGGAGGCAGATGGGTTTGCTTCGTTGTCTATTCAGGATCTGGTGGTAGTGCTGGCAGCAAGCAGCAGGGGTTCTCTGTTTTGTTTGAAGGGGGTTTGTTTTTGCCACCTCGTGCAGTAACCTTCCTGTGGTTCCACAAGCCGTGTTCGGTGTGGCTGTGCACTGCTTGGTAGAAAACTATACAGCACAGAGTCTCAGAGTAAAGTCCCTGTACTCCACTTCATCCTTGGTTGTCTTGGCACTTGGTGCTATTGCGTAGCACTCGCTGTGAATATTAACCCTGACCGTGCTTCACGCTTATTTAAGGAGGTTGTGGAGGAGAATTAAAACTGATGCTTTGGCTGCACCATTGGAGATTGTTGCAGGAGGTCCGCAGTGTCTAGGGCCCCACAGATGTTTTACGACATGGAGCCAGAGTCAAAAACCACAGGCAGAGATTGTAACCTTACTTTGGGGGCAAGCAGACATATATAATTTGGCTCATTTAGGTTTGTCTTTGTTTGCTTTTAATTAGGAGCCAACACTTAAGAATTCCGAGATTTCAGGGGAAAGAATAATCCAGGTTTCTGATTTCTCTTGAAAAACAGCAACCAGCCTCAGCCTGCGTTCCTGCACAGTAATGATTTGCCAGGACTAAGGAGCAGCTGCCACCTTGAGATAGACTGTGCCTTCCTAGACACTGCGGTCTCCACCGACTTGCTTGGGACCTGGCCCGCTTCCCCCTTTTCCAGTGCCTGCCTGACCTTGGCTGCCATTTGGGCTTCAGCCCTGTCGTAGCACCTCTTAGACAGGTGCTTGGCCTGAGTGGGGCCTGTAAGGAGATCCATGTGGGTTTCTCCCCTGTCTCAAGCCCCAAAGGAATTTTAGACCGGAACTGACTGGCAGGCTCCGGTTGATAGCTTGTGGCACAATCGGAAGTGCCCTTGGTTTGTGTCGTGTCTCTGCCACTTACTTGCCCAGGAGCTTGGGCAAATTGTTTGACCTCAATTCCTGCATCTGTAGAATGGGAACGATGCTAATCAAGTCTGAGGATTGTTGTGTGAAAGGAACATATGGCATGGGATTGGCCCACTGGTAGGTGCGGATCTTTGTCAGTTACTACTGGCTGTTAGTCTTCTGATTGGATGCCTAGGTAGAGAGAAAGCTCCTTTCGGGTTATAGCCAAGTTTCATTGAGACGTTCCAGTGGGATCTGTCCTGTGTATCGTGGGATGTTTGGCAGTGCCCCTGACCTCTACCCAAATGTCTCTAGACGTTGTCAGATGTCCCCCCGGGGGCAAAATCGCACCTGTTTGAGTACCCCTGTGGTAGGGGATTCTGTTGACCCTCCCCCTGCCAAGAGACTGTGCAACATAGTCATCTGATCTACTAAAGTCCTAGGATGCTGCACACATTTAAATACACAAATGGAGCCGGGAGGGAGAGAGGAGGTAATTCACAGATGCTGGGGCATCACCCTGGTTTGTGCCGTCTGACCCACTGAGAATTTACTTTGGTGTATAATGTGAGTTAGGGATCTGACTCAGTCTTTTTCTCATCCTCAGCACAGTTGATATTTGGGGTTGGATCATTTGTGGTTGGGGGAGCATCCTGTGCACAGTAGGAGGCTGATCAGCATCCCTGACCTCCATCCACTAGATGCTGTTAGTAACTCCTCCCCATCGTGATACCCAGGAATGTTTTCAGACATTGCCCAGTGTCCAGGGGGTGGAGTTGGGGGCAAAATAAAAGTGTCCAAGAATAAACTGTTTGCCAACTAGAGCTTAGGGCTCACCCTCCCAACCTTTTTTTTCCATTATGGCCTTTTGGCAGCTGTAGGCATCATGGACTTCATGTGCCTGTTAAGGGGGACCAGTGTTTTCCATGACCTTCAGCACTGTTCCAAGTTCCAGGTGGGGACCTTCCGAGATGCTCTGCATCTGGGCCATTCCCTTTCACGGGGGCTGAAGCCCAAGGCCGTGTCTGTAAGAGGAGTCAGCCTGTCCCAGTGTGCCCACCTCCAGCCACTGAGTCTAGGAGCCCAGCTCATCCTTTCCAGTGGATCGTTTTGACTCACTGGGCACTCATTCTCCTGAAACCTGACAGAGACGACAGTGGTTTCTCCATGCACGTGTCTAGGAGGTAAGCTTTGCTTTTGCAGTACATTTTAAATGGCTTTGCTAAATTAAACTCCCCCAGGCTTGCCACACAGAATTTCGAGAATTCATCAGCCCAGAATTAACGCCTGTGTTGCATCTGTAACAGCAGAGCGGGAGTGGGGAAAACAGTTTGGCTTCTCAGGTGGCAAGAGTGAGAAAACAGGCTGCCGTTTGCTCAGAGGAGGAAGGATGTTCTGCAGCATTGATGTGGCCGCCGGGGACCTGAGTCCAGGGCCCGGGTCACTCATCATCCGTGCCACTTGGGGGGCCGCCTGCTTGTGGAGTCTTGTCGGGAAAATGGGGCTTGTGTTTGCGGACCACGTCGGCCACTGAGTGAGCGAGACGTGCTTCCACAGCTCAGGCACCAGCACGCCCTGTCTCCAGAATAGTCAGGCTCCAGCTGCCTCGCCCAGTCTGCAAGGCCACAAGACTTGCCCGAGCCTCCCTGTCACTGCCGCTTCTCACCTGGACAGCACCTGAGGGCTCCTCGCTGGCCCCCTGGCAACTCCTCCTGCCTCCCTGAGATCTGTTCTCCTCACCACTCCCAGGGTGATCTTCCCCGACGTCATATTACAAAACTTCATAACACGCAGAAATGGAAAGGATTCATGAGGACCACTGCCAGGGTGGTCTTTCAGAAAAATGAACCGGATCATATCACACCCCTGCTTGGACTCCTCACCATGCTCCCCGTCTCCAAACTCACCTCCTGCCCTCCCCTAAGGGAACTCTGGTGTCAGATGGGCCTCCGGGTTCTTCCTGTCCTTAGGATGTTCGTTCTTGGGGCTCCCTCTGCCCGGCATACTCCGCCTTCACCTGGTCGCTCCTTTACACCCAAGGTTCAGATGGCGCCTGGGAGAGGCCTTCCCCCCGCCGCGGCCCCCTTCTGCCCACTGCCCTGCTCCAGCGGCCGTCTAGCGCCTGCCTCCAGGGTTTCCTCATTGTCCCCGCACGCCTCCGGCTGCTTGTTTTTCTCTCCTCTTCCCACTAGATGGCTGCGGCCTCGTCCACCTTTCCTCCTGTCTCCAGTGCCTGGTGCCTCGCACCTGGCTCATCGTGGGTTCTCAGGAAATCGTGTTGCTGTGAGCAGGGCTTGGCTAGTGGGCCTGCTGTCGGCTCTCACCTCAGTGATCCCCTCGGCCTCAGAAGGGCTCAAGGGATTATGAGAGACTGTTTGTGGCGAGGTGTCCCCGTGTCCAGGCAGCTCTTGGAAGGGGCCAGACCGGGAGGTGTTTATCATCGTTGAGGGCCTGGCGACTGGAGACAGTCCTGGAGTCCAAGACCCCTGCTTTGAGACGGCGTCAGTGTATCTGCAGTCTCTGTGGAATTCTAGTCACAGTAGTAACACCAGTGTGGAATTCGGACTGCATGCCAGCCACTTCCCAAGCACTTGATATGCATCATTTCCTTCAGTCCTTCCGAACCGACTGGGGTGTGGGTACCATGCCTGTTGACAGACACAGGCAGTATGTGGGGAAAGCGCGGGAACTTGCCCAGGGTCCCAGCCGCAGGTGGTTGAGGCCCATCTGAACACACCCAGAAACCAGCGCCCGCGTTCCCAAACTTCATCAGTTGGCCTGCAGCCTCAGCAGATCTTCTGGAGTCCTTAGCTCTCCTTCCTGTGAGGGGATTTCCGCTGTCTTCACTGGAACTTTCCCCTGAATCTTCGGCCAGCCGCTTGCATCGATACTTCACCTCAGCTGTGCTTGTGTCGCGCCATCTAGTGGCAGAATAGAAAAGTGCTGTCAAAGCTGGCTCCCCAATTTCTCAGTAGTTTTAGGTGAGGTTGCTGACTTTGTTTGATGTATTAATAGGCTTATGGGGTTTTTCCTCGATTTAAGGCACAGAGGTATCCAAAGTGCAGGGTCTGCCCCAGCAGCTTGTAGTCTGAGTGGGTGGGGCAGGGGTGGAGGGATCGGAGAGGGCTGCAGGGCTGGTGCTTCTAGAAGTAAAGAAGGCGGATGTGGCTTGGCCTGAGAGGGGTCGAGGGGGATGTGAGGCACCCAGCTTGGAAGTCAGGCTTAGGGTTCTGATCCCACCTCTGCTGTGTACCAGCTTCGTGACTTGGGCAGGGCACGTGTCTCTCCGAGGCCTCTCAGTCTTGTTTTGTGATTTGCAAATCAGAGACAATAAATAATTTCTATGCCACAGGGCTGTGATGACATTGAATGAGATGGAGTATGTAAAGCGCCTGCCTCCGGGTCTAGTTAGGACCATTCAGCAAATCCAAGTGGCTTATTACCCCCGCTGTTGTCAGAAATGTAGGGTCATGTTAGAGCCCTGAGGAGTGGCTCGGGTTTCAGTGGGTGATGGTAATTTTGTGATGAAGAGCATCCCAGAAAGAAGGGCATAAGATGAAAGATATACTGTCATCTCCCAAAACTGGGCCCCCCTATGATTTCCGTGAGACCAGTTGAGAGCTGCCTGAGGAAAAATATATTCAAGTACCAAAAAAAGAATGAAGGGACCCACTGCCCACTAGCTGAGCCTGCGGTACACTGAAATCAGAGAGGTATTGCCTAGCAACAGCATGATTGAGATCAGTTCTACTCTTCACCAAAGAATTAGTTGGCGAACAGAGTTGACACATCGGTGACAAATTCACCTTTATGTTGCTGCACAGGACTGTTTATAATAATTCCTGAGAAAAGAAAGGACTCGAAGGCTTGAGATAGTAAGTGTCGCAGGATTAAAGCAGGTGCCACGTATTAACAGACTGTTGTTTGTGTTGGCAAGATGCTTTCCATATTTTTTGCACAGATAAGATTAAGACACATCGGCGCAGGATTAAAGCTCATTTTGCACAACTACCTTGCTGACACTTTGGACAAGAATTCTATGTGGCTTTCCAGATGGGGGTTATTTCCTGGCAGGTGTTCGATCCATCATTTATGAGGGGAATAAACAGAACAGGCCAAGATAGTCCAGATTCCCTTCTCTGTGTGTTTTCCTGGGTCTACATATTTTCTTCTGTTTAGTTTAGCAGACATCCTCAGAGACGGAGGCTGGAGGCAGCCACGGGGGCGTGCCAGAGCTAGTCGAGGGGCAGGCCTGCCCGTGGCTTCTGTGTACTTGCCTCCGTGCATAGTGTGAAGAAGGAAAGCCTGCATGCGGGGCTGAAAACACACAGAGAATGTGTGTGTTTTCACCTTCGGTTGTGAATGTGTTACGTACAGTCTCCCACGGTTACACGTTTGACAGCTGCAGAGGCGAAGTGGGCCTCACCGTTAAGCGTGGGTCTGCATTCTCTCCTCGAGGAGCCTGAGGGTCTGCCCTGGTGTGACTGCACGCTCATCTGAAGCAGATGGTCGCACGACTTGCTGGAGGCCTCGGGCCCACCCCACAGCCCATCGCTCACCCTGTAGTTTCGTTTGTACTCTTCCAGAGATGTTTGTCTGGAATGTTTACTGACAGCTGCTTTATTCCTGATGTTACTTCTCAGAGGAAGAGTCCCAGTTTCTTAGCTTCAAGGCCCACCTGAGAGGGAAAGATGGGAGGAAGCAAAATGGGACGGTGACTTCTCCCTTTTGCCCTTGCGGTGCGTGGGTAGTAGCGGGGGTCAGGGACCAGAGTCAGGCCCGCCTGGGTTGGAGACCCAGCCCCACCTTGGACAAGTCGCTCGCCCTCTCTGAGTCTCCGTTCCTGTTCTGTAAACTAAGGACCTACCTCCTAAGGTGGTTGTGAAGTTTCAGGACAGTGATGCGGATGAAGTGCTGAGCACCTAGGTGCCTGGCCCATAAGTATTTTCTGATCAATGACTGCTGGCCTGTGTGAGAGACCATCCCAGGGTTCTGGGAAACCCCATATGGGAATGTCCTCGCTGTGACTACGTGGCAGAGGCTGGAGAAGTCTAAAGATGGGATCCCAAGACCTCTGTCACCCTGGAGGGTGGGGACACACACCCTTCTACCCCGGGGCCACCTCTGGGGTCCAGGCCAGCTCCTTGCTCCCCTTCCCTTGCTTGCAGTAGGGACTTGGCCTCCTTTCCTCACATCCGGGCAGCTGCCGTCACCCACCCTCTCCCTAGGAGTTCCTCCTCCTTAGACTGGCTGCAGGGCAGTACCCACTCCGTCCCCTTCCTTGCTGGTCTGAAATAGACACAGGAGGCATTTTGTTTTAAGGGTTTTGCCACCAGTCAACCTCTGGGCAGAAAAGACACAGATGAAACCCTGAGTGCTGTACCCTGGCCTACTTGTAGTGGTGGTATCAGGAAGCCCACTGTTTTAATTCTGACAAGTGTGGGGCTTCTTAAAACGCTCCTCCTCCTTTGGACCCTCCTTACCCACTATTTGAGGAGGCAGTTTACAGGCCCTCTCCCTGACAAAGACACTGTACACAGATTACAGCGATGCCTTCAGGGTGGGGCTTTTAGAACTTCCCACGCACGCACCCACCCAAGCCATCCGAGGACTTTCCCTTGTCCCAGGGCCCCCGGTCAGTCGTTTCTGCTTTAGTAGAAGGGCCTGCCTCCTTGGCGACCCCTTTGTTACCCAGAGACCTCCACTCCCTGCAGGGAGAATGGTCTACGGCCCTTTGGGTCAAGAGGCAGCCTGCACCTTAGGGACCCCCGACTTCTTTGGAGCCATCTTTGGTTCCTTTGCTCAAGATAGGAACTGCCTGAGTGTGATTGGTGCTTACCTGCCAGGAGCTTCTACGCTGGGCCATGCCGGTGTGAGGGATTGTACTCCGCTCCTCTCGCCCTGGGCTGGGTTGTTTCCCGTCTGTCTTTAAGGGAGTCCAGTGGTGCCACCCTGACCTTCCTCCAGTTCCTCCAGTGCTGCCTCATTCCTCCCCGCTCCTGGTCACCTGGCTAAATGCTGCTCCTTCCGCTTAAGTGGCATTTCCTTCAAGAAGCCCTCCCTGATCTGCTCCTTCTCTGCAGCCTCACCGGGTTGGGTGCCCCAGCTCCGTGGTCTGAGTGCCTTCTGTGCTTCCCCTGTGTTGTAATGTTCAACTAAGTCTGATGTCAGCTCCTGGCAGGCA